ACGTAGTTGTCGTACATGTCGGTGTGGTTCTTACGTAGTTGTCGTACATGTCGTAGTCGTGGTTCTTACGTAGTTGTCGTACATGTCGGTGTGGTTCTTACGTAGTTGTCGTACATGTCGTGTGTGGTTCTTACGTAGTTGTCGTACATGTCGGTGTGTAGTTCTTACGTAGTTGTCGTACATGTCGGTGTGGTTCTTACGTAGTTGTCGTACGTATTGTCGTACATGTCGTGGTTCTTACGTAGTTGTCGTACATGTCGGTGTGGTTCTTACGTAGTTGTCGTACATGTCGGTGTGGTCGTTTCTTACGTAGTTGTCGGTGTGTTCTACGTAGTTGTCGTACATGTCGGTGTGGCTTACGTAGTTGTCGTACATGTCGGTGTGGTTCTTACGTAGTTGTCGTACATGTCGGTGTGGTTCTTACGTAGTTGTCACGTGTGGTCGTACATGTCGGTGTGTGTCGGTAGTGTCGTTACATGTCGGTGTGGTTCTTACGTAGTTGTTCGTGTGGTTGGTTGTGGTTCTTACGTAGTTGTCGTACATGTCGGTGTGGTTCTTACGTAGTTGTCGTACATCGTGTTTAAGGTTCATGTCTTGGTTTTACGTAGTTGTCGTACATGTCGGTGTCTACGTTCTCGTGTACGTTCTTACGTAGTTGTCGTACATGTCGGTGTGGTTCTTACGTTAGTTGTCGTACATGTCGGTGTGGGTTCTTACGTAGTTGTCGTAGTTTACGTAGTTGTCGTACATGTCGGTGTGGTTCTTACGTAGTTGTCGTACATGTCGGTGTGGTTCTACGTAGTTGTCGTACATGTCGGTGTGGTTCTTACGTAGTGTCGTGTGGTGTGGGTTCTTACGTAGTGTCTCGGTGTGGTTCTTACGTAGTTCTCGTACATGTCGGTGTGGTTCTTACGTAGTTCTCGTAGATGTCGGTGTGTTCTTACGTAGTTGTCTGTACGTAGTTGTCGTACATGTCGGTGTGGTTCTTACGTAGTTCGTCATGTCTGTGGTTCTTACGTAGTTGTCGTACATGTCGGTGTGGTTCTTACGTAGTTGTCGTACATGTCGGTGTGGTTCTACATACGTAGTTGTCGTACGTACTAGTTCGTGTGGTTCTTACGTAGTTGTCGTACATGTCGGTGTGGTTCTTACGTAGTTCTCGTAGATGTCGGTGTGGTTCTTACGTAGTTGTCGTACATGTCGGTGTGGTTCTTACGTAGTTGTCGTAAGTCGTGTGGTTCTTACGTAGTTGTCGTACATGTCGGTGTGGTTCTTACGTAGTTGTCGTACATGTCGGTGTGGTTCTTACGTAGTTGTCGTACATGTCGTGTGGTTCTTACGTGTTGTCGTAGTTGTCGTGTGGTTCTTACGTAGTTGTCGGTACGTAGTGTCGGTGTGGTTCTTACGTAGTTGTCGTACATGTCGGTGTGGTTCTTACGTAGTTGTCGTACATGTCGGTGTGTTCTTACGTATTGTCGGTGTGGTTCTTACGTAGTTGTCTACATAGTGTCGTACATGTCGGTGTGGTTCTTACGTAGTTCTCGTAGATGTCGGTGTGGTTCTTACGTAGTGTCGTACATGTCGGTGTGGTTATGTTCTACTTACGTAGTTGTCGTACATGTCGGTGTGGTTCTTACGTAGTTCTCGTACATGTCGGTGTGGTTCTTACGTAGTTGTCGTACATGTCGGTGTGGTTCTTACGTAGTTCTCGTAGATGTCAGGTGTGGTTCCACTCCAGTCCGTCGTCCAGGACGGTGATGACGACTCCTTTCCCGGTGATTCCTTTCTGCCACACAGGGATCACGTGCAGGTCCAGTTTGGGCAGAGATGGAGACGTCCGAGTGTCTTGCTGCAGGGCACAAGGGCAGAGGGCAAACTGTCAATCAAATGCTCCTCCTACTACTCCCTCACTCCTCCTGCTTCCTTTCCTCTCTCTCCTCTCCTCTCTCCTCTCTCCTTCTCTCCTTTCCTTTCCTCTCCTCTCTCCTTTCTCCTTCTCTCCTCTCTCCTCTCTCCTCTCTCCTCCTCTCTTCTCTCCTTTCCTCTCTCCTTCTCTCCTTCTCTCCTCTCTCCTCCTCTCTTCTCTCCTTTCCTCTCTCCTTCTTTCCTTCTCTCCTCTCCTCTCTCCTCCTCTCCTTCTCTCCTTCTCTCCTCTCCTCTCTCCTCCTCTCCTTCTCTCCTTCTCTCCTTCTCTCCTCTCCTCTCTCCTCCTCTCCTTCTCTCCTCCTCTCTCCTCCTCTCTTCTCTCCTTTCCTCTCTCCTTCTCACCTTTCCTTCTCTCCTCTCTCCTCCTTTCTTCTCTCGTTTCCTCTCTCCTTCTCTCCTCTCTCCTCCTCTCTTTCTCTCCTCCTCTCTTTCTCCTCTCTCCTCTCTCCTTCTCTCCTCTCTTCTGTCCCTCTCAGATCTTGTCTTTCTCCTCTTCTTCATCTAAAGGTCACACGCTCCAGTCTTTTTCTTTTTCTTTTTTTTTTTTCTCTGTGACATTTAGACCCTCGAGTCCTGGACCGGGTCTTATCAGAGTCCAGACTAAAGGTCTAAAGGGCCTCTCCAAGACCAAAGACCTCACAAAGACCGGACCGAGACCAGATAAAGACCAGACAAAGACCTCACAAGGACCTCACAAAGACCTCACAAAGACCTCACAAAGACCTCACAAAGACCTCACAAAGACCCGGCAAAGACCCGACAAAGACCGGACCAGGACCAGACAAAGACCGGACTGAGACCAGATAAAGACCAGACAAAGACCTCACAAAGACCTCACAAAGACCTCACAAGGACCTCACAAAGACCTCACAAAGACCTCACAAAGACCTCACAAAGACCGGACCGAGACCAGATAGAGACCAGATAGAGACCAGACAAAAGTCGTGTCCTTCTGCTCTGAGGACTCTTCACTCTTCACTTTTTCACTTTTTCACTTTTGACTTTTTTCTCGTGGCTCTGGAGCTTCACGTGTACGAGACTCCGCCCTCCCGTCGCTCTTTCTCTCTCCTTCTCTCTGTTTCTCTCTCTCTTTCTGTTTCTCTCTCTTTCTCTCTCTTTTTCTCTCTCTCTTTCTTCCTCTTTGTTTCTCTGTTTCTTTCTCTTTTGCTCTCTCTGTTCATCTGTCTCTCTTTTTCTGTTTCTCTTTCTCTCTGTTTTTCTCTCTCTCTCTCTCTCTCTCTCTCTCTCTCTTCTCTCTCTTCTTGTCGTTTTTTTGCGTGTGGTGTTTTCGGTCGTGTTCTTTTGCTTTGAAGACTTCTGAAGTCGTTTTTCTTGTCGCTCTGGGGAGCTCGGTGTGTACGAGGCTCCGCCCCCGCGTCGCTCTGGGGAGCTCGGTGTGTACGAGGCTCCGCCCCCGCGTCGCTCTGGGGAGGTTCTACGTGGACGTCTAGGGCAGATCTTTGACTGAAACTTTAGTCGTGTTTAAACTCTGTGTCCGAGTTTAAAAACAAACACAAATGTTCAAATCTCCACTGAATCATTTCAATTTAAATTAAATAAACGAACTTTGATGAAATTAAATCTGAATTTCCTCAGAAATAATTAAACTCCTCCTCCTCTTCTTCTTCTTCATCCTCCTCTTCTTCCTCCTCTTCTTCATCAGACTCACGTCAACAAACAGAAGAAAAACACAACAAACTCTTCCTCCTCTTTCTCTCTCTCTTTCTCTCTCTCCTCTTTCTCTCTCTCCTCTTTCTCTCTCTCCTCTTTCTCTCTCTCCTCTTTCTCTCTCTCTCTTCTCTCTCTTTCTCTCTTTCTTTCTCTCTGTTCCTCTCTGTCTTTCTCTTCCTTTCTCTCTTTCTCTTTGTTACTCTCTCTCTTTCTTTTTTCTCTCTTTCTCTCATTTTCTTTCTCTCTCTCTTTCTCTCTGGTTCTCTTTCTTTCTCCGTTTATTTTTCTTTATTTTCTTTCTCTCTTTATCTATCTGTTCCTCTCCCTCTTTCTCTTTCTTTCTCTCTTTCTCTCTGTGTCTTTCTCTCAGTTTTTCTCTTTCTTTCTTTCTTTCTCTCTGTTTCATCTCTCTCTTTCTCTGTTTTCTCTTTCTTTCTCTCTTTTCTCTCTTTTCCTCTCTTTCTCTTTCTTTCTCTCCCTCGCTCTCTCCTCCTCTCATCTCTCATCTTTCCTCTCTCTCTCTCTCTCTCTCTTTGTTACTCTCTCTTTCTTTCTCTCGCTTCATCTCTCATCTCTCCATTCCTCTCTCTCTCTCTCTCTCTCCTCTCTTCTCTCTCTTTCTTTCTTTCTTTCTCTCTTCTCTTTTCTCTGATTCTCTGGTTCTCTCTCTTTCTCTTCCTTTCTCTCTTTCTATTTGTTACTCTCTCTCTCTTTCTTTTTTCTCTTTTTCTTTCTTTCTCTCTCTCTTTCTCTCTGTTCATCTCTTTTTTCTCTTTGTTCCTCTCTTTCTCTTTCTTTCTCTCTTCCTTTCTCTCATTCTCTTTGTTACTCTCTCTCTCTGTCTCTCTCTCTCTCTTTATTTCTCTCCCCGCTCTCTCCCTCGCTTTCTCCTCTCTCTTTATCTTCATCTCTCCATTCCTCTCTTTCTCTTCTCTCTTCTTGTCGTTTTTTTTTTTTTTTTTCTGTGGTGTTTTCGGTTTCTGCGTCCGTCACTGACGACGATGACTCATGTGAGACGGAGAGACCACGAGAGGACGAGTGGAGGGAGGGAGGAGTGGAGGGAGGGATGGACGGAGGGATGGACGGAGGGGGGGGCAGGTGGTGGACGAGTGCAGCGTCATTAAAGGGGAGAATTATCACGAAGAAAAACAAACAAACAGCTGCAGAGAGAGAGAAGAGAAGAGAGAGGGAGAGGAAAAGAGGAGAGGAAAGAGGGAGAGAGAGAGAGCAAGGGAAGGGAAAGGGGGAGGAAAGGGAGAGAGAGGAGAGAAAGAGTGAAAGATGGAGAGAACAGGAGAAAAAGAGAGAGAGAAGAGAGGGATTAAAGATGGACGAGAGGATGGAGGGATGGAGGGATGGAGGGATGGAGGATGAGTCACAGGCAGGACTCTCTCTCTTTCTCTCTCTCTTTCTCTCTTTTTCTCTTTTCTCAGGTTTCTGTTGGATTCCTTTCTTTTTTTTTTTTTCTTTTTTCTGATCTGAACAAAAACTGAAAAAAACAAAAACAAAACAACACCAGACCTGAACTAGACCTGGTTTAGACCTGGTTTAGACCTGGTTTAGACCTGGTTTAGACCTGGTTTAGACCTGGTTTAGACCTGGTTTAGACCTGGTTTAGTCCTGGTTTAGTTGGTTTAGACCTGGTTTAGACCTGGTTTAGTCCTGGTTTAGTCCTGGTTTAGACCTGGTTTAGTCCTGGTTTAGTCCTGGTTTAGTCCTGGTTTTGGTTTAGTCCTGGTTTAGTTCTGGTTTAGTTCTGGTTTAGTTCTGGTTTAGTCCTGGTTTAGTCCTGGTTTAGACCTGGTTTAGTCCTGTTTAGACCTGGTTTAGTCCTGGTTTAGTCCTGGTTTAGACATGGTTTAGTCCTGGTTTAGTTCTGGTTTAGTCCTGGTTTAGTTCTGGTTTAGTCTGGTTTAGTCTGGTTTAGTTCTGGTTTAGTCCTGGTTTAGTCCTGGTTTAGTCCTGGTTTAGTTCTGGTTTAGTTCTGGTTTAGTCCTGGTTTAGTCCTGGTTTAGACCTGGTTTAGTCCTGGTTTAGTCCTGGTTTAGTCCTGGTTTAGACCTGGTTTAGACCTGGTTTAGTCCTGGTTTAGTCCTGGTTTAGACATGGTTTAGTCCTGGTTTAGTCCTGGTTTAGACATGGTTTAGTCCTGGTTTAGTTCTGGTTTAGTCCTGGTTTAGTTCTGGTTTAGTTCTGGTTTAGTTTGTTTAGTCCTGGTTTAGTCCTGGTTTAGTCCTGGTTTAGTGGTTTAGTCCTGGTTTAGACCTGGTTTAGTCCTGGTTTAGTCCTGGTTTAGACATGGTTTAGTCCTGGTTTAGTTCTGGTTTAGTCCTGGTTTAGTTTCCTGGTTTAGTTCTGGTTTAGTCCTGGTTTAGTTCTGGTTTAGTCCTGGTTTAGTCCTGGTTTAGTCCTGGTTTAGTTCTGGTTTAGTCCTGGTTTAGTCTGGTTTAGTCCTGGTTTAGTTCCTGGTTTAGTCCTGGTTTAGTTAGTTCCTGGTTTAGTCCTGGTTTAGTTAGTCTGGTTTAGTCCTGGTTTAGTTCTGGTTTAGTCCTGGTTTAGTCCTGGTTTAGTCTGGTTTAGTCCTGGTTTAGTTCTGGTTTAGTCCTGGTTTAGTCCTGGTTTAGTTCTGGTTTAGTTCTGGTTTAGTTCTGGTTAGTCCTGTCCTGGTTTAGTTCTGGTTTAGACCTGGTTTAGTTCTGGTTTAGTTCTGGTGAGTCACAGTTTGACTTTCGTCTGCGTCACTTTTGTTCTTTTTCTTTTTCTTTCTCTCTTTTCTTCCGTGAGGTCAGAGACGAGTCAAGTCATTATCCCTCCGTCCGTCCTCCACCTCATCCCTCCATCCTTCTCTCTCTCCGTCAGGTCAGAGCTCTGAGTCACACGTTTATCCATCCCTCCGTCCATCCCTCCGTCTATCCCTCCATCCCTCCATCCATCCTCCATCCATCCCTCCATCCCTCCATCCATTCCTCCATCTATCCCTCCATCCCTCCATCCCTCCATCCATCCATCCCTCATCCATCCCTCCATCCCTCCATCTATCCCTCCATCCATTCCTCCATCCATCCTCCTCCCTCATCTATCCCTCCATCCCTATCCTCCCTCCATCCCTCCATCCATATCCATCCATCCTCCATCCCATCCTCCATCCCTCCATCCATCCATCCATCCCTCCATCTATCCTCCATCCCTCCATCCCTCCATCCCCTCCATCCATCCCTCCATCCATCCATCCCTCCATCCATCCCTCCATCTATCCCTCCATCTATCCCTCCATCTATCCCTCCATCCCTCCATCCCATCCCCATCCATCCCTCCATCTATCCCTCCATCCCATCCATCCTCCCATCCCATCCATCCCATCCATCCCTCCATCCATCCATCCCTCCATCCTATCCTCCATCCATCCCTCCATCCATCCCTCCATCCCTCCATCCCTCCATCCCTCCATCTATCCCTCCATCCATCCCTCATCCCTCCATCCATCCCTCCATCCCTCCATCCCTATCCCTCCATCCATCCATCCATCCCTCCATCCCTCCATCTATCCCTCCATCCATCCCTCCATCCATCCATCCATCCTCCATCCATCCCTCCATCCATCCCTCCATCCTCCATCCATCCCTCCATCCCTCCATCTATCCATCCTCATCCATCCATCCATCCATCCCTCCATCTATCCCATCCATCCCTCCATCTATCCCTCCATCCCTCCATCCATCCCTCCATCTATCCCTCCATCCCTCCATCCCTCCATCTCCTCCATCCATCCCTCCATCTCTCTGTAAAACAAACTCACATCCGTCCGTTTATCTCTCCATCCGTACATCCTCCACTCGTTTATCTGCTCCTCTTCATCCCTCTCTCCCTCCCTCTTTTCTCTCTTTTTTTCTGGATTAAACGTCGAGTTTCAATTAAACAAATGAGACACAAATACTGCAGTACTACCTCAAATACTGCAGTACTACCTCAAATACTGCAGTACTACCTCAAAAGTACTACTGCAGTACTACCTCAAATACTGCAGTACTACCTCAAATACTGCACTACTACCTCAAATACTGCAGTACTACCTCAAATACTGCAGTACTACCTCAAATACTGCAGTACTAACATGTGCACTACAATACTACCTGCATATATCACAATCCTACTACAGAGTACTACAGAGTACAACAAAGTACTACAGAGTACAACAAAGTACTACAGAGTACTACAGAGTACTTCTTGCGAGTCTCTTTTCTTTTTAATTGTTTTCTGTTGTATTTAGAAGTATTAATATTATTATTACTACAGAGTACTGCAGAGTCTACTATCCACTCCACACAGTATTAGTAGTATTAGTAGTATAAGTAGTAGTAGTAGTAGTAGTAGTAGTAGTAGTATAAGTACTTACGAGGTACCACTGTTGGTTCCACATGGGGTCGGTGAAGAGTTTGTCCACGTCTGATCTCAGACTCGCTCGTTTACTCCTCGTTTTCTCGTACTGTTGCTCCGCCCACAGCACCTGACACCGACAGGGACAGACAGGGACAGACAGGTGAGACAGGTGAGACAGGTGAGACAGGTGAGACAGGTGAGAGACAGGTGAGACAGGTGAGACAGGTGAGAAACAGGTGAGAGACAGGGGAGAGACAGGGACAGACAGGTGAGACAGGGGAGACAGGGGAGACAGGGACAGACAGGTGAGACAGGTGAGAGACAGGTGAGACAGGGACAGACAGGTGAGACAGGGGAGACAGGTGAGGGACAGGTGAGACAGGGACAGACAGGGAAGACAGGTGACACAGGGGAGACAGGTGAGACAGGTGAGAGACAGGTGAGACAGGGACAGACAGGTGAGACAGGTGAGACAGGTGAGACAGGGGAGACAGGTGAGACAGGTGAGACAGGTGAGACAGGGACAGACAGGTGAGACAGGTGAGACAGGGAGACAGACAGGTGAGACAGGGAGACAGGTGAGACAGGGAGACAGGTGAGACAGGTGAGACAGGTGAGACAGGTGAGACAGGTGAGACAGGGAGACAGGTGAGACAGGTGAGACAGGTGAGACAGGTGAGACAGGTGAGACAGGGGAGACAGGTGAGACAGGGGAGACAGGTGAGACAGGTGAGACAGGTGAGACAGGTGAGACAGGTGAGACAGGTGAGACAGGTGAGACAGGTGAGACAGGTGAGACAGGGAGACAGGTGAGACAGGTGAGACAGGGACAGACAGGTGAGACAGGGGAGACAGGGAGACAGGGACAGACAGGTGAGACAGGGGAGACAGGGACAGACAGGTGAGAAAAGAGCGAGGGGAGAGTGAGGGGCATTTGTCCATGTTACTTCAGAAAATAAGACAGTAGTATTTGCAGTAGTAGTAGTAGTAGTATTTGCAGTAGTATTTGCAGTAGTAGTAGTAGTAGTAGTATTTGCAGTAGTAGTAGTAGTAGTAGTATTTGCAGTAGTAGTAGTAGTAGTAGTAGTAGTAGTAGTAGTAGTAGTATTTGCAGTAGTAGTAGTAGTAGTATTTGCAGTACTGACCCTGTCGTCCTCGGACAGTCTCTTGGTGACGTGCGTCGCGCTGCGTCTCGATCGTCTCGGGTGACGTCTGTGTTTGAAAAGGTAATGATCATCCAGGGCCCCAATCTGGCAACGCAAACACAAACTCACATTATACTCCCAATCTGGCAACGCAAACACAAACTCACATTATACTCCCAATCTGGCAACGCAAACACAACTCACATCACATTATACTCCCAATCTGGCAACGCAAACACAAACTCACATTATACTCCCAATCTGGCAACGCAAACACAAACTCACATTATACTCCCAATCTGGCAACGCAAACACAAACTCACATTATACTCCCAATCTGGCAACGCAAACACAAACTCACATTATACTCCCAATCTGGCAACGCAAACACAAACTCACATTATACTCCCAATCTGGCAACGCAAACTCACATTATACTCCCAATCTGGCAACGCAAACACAAACTCACATTATACTCCCAATCTGGCAACGCAAACTCACATTATACTCCCAATCTGGCAACACAAACACAAACTCATATTAAACTTTTAACTCTGCATCTGGCAACACACGATTTTATTCTTAAACTTTGAATGTTTGAGTTGTGTCATTTTGTCTCAAAAATCTCAGGTCCCAATCTGGCAACAACAACGAAGATTCAACTTTAAACTCTGGATGTGTTATTTTAATTTTAATTTTAATGTTCATTTTAAAATGTGAAGAATGAAGAAAAAAATGACCCTGAGTCCAAAAAACTCGACAGTACGACGGAGTAAAAGGGTCAGATAAAAAAAACAAAACAAAAACATGCTGGCGACAAGAATAAAGTCATAACATTTTGACATTAAAGTCGTAATTTTACGAGAATAAAGTCGAAGCCAGAAAAAGTCGTAATTTTACAAGAATAAAGTTGTGATTTTATGAGAATAAAGTCGTAATTTTACGAGAATAAAGTTGTGATTTTATGAGAATAAAGTCGTAATTTTACGAGAATAAAGTCGTAATTTTACAAGAATAAAGTCATAATTTTACAAGAATAAAGTCGTAATTTTATGAGAATAAAGTCATAATTTTACAAGAATAAAGTCGTAATTTTATGAGAATAAAGTCATAATTTTACAAGAATAAAGTCGTAATTTTATGAGAATAAAGTCATAATTTTACAAGAATAAAGTCATAATTTTATGAGAATAAAGTTGTAATTTTATGAGAATAAAGTTGTAGTCAAAATAAAGTCATAATATCAGGAGAACATCAGCGGCTCGTGGAGAATTTGGAGCATTTTGTAAAGGAGAAGAATCTGTGTTTCATTCGTTCACTTGACTGAACAAGGACTGAATCAGGACTAAATCAGGTCCGGAACCAAACCAGAACTAAGACCAGGACTGAGACCGGGACCAAACCAGGACTGAAAATGGTTTAGTCCTAGTTTAATCCTGGTTTAAGTCACGGAAATGGGAAATGGCGTTTCCGTGACTTTAAAATGCGATGCGGGACTGAACCAGGACTGAACCAGGACTAAACGAGGTCCGAGACCAGATCGGGACTGAGACCAGGACTTAAACCGGGATCAGACAAGAACTGAGACAAGGACAGAACCAGGACTAAACCAGGACTAAACCGTTTTCAGTCCTGGTCTGGTCCCGGTCTCAGTCCCAGTCTAAGTCCTGGTCTCAGTCCCGATCTGGTCTCGGACCTCGTTTAGTCCTGGTTTAGACCTGGTTCAGTCCGGAGGTGTAAATAATGAAGAAAATTGTTGTTTTTTTCGTTTTCTTATTTTTGGTTTTATATTGAAAAACAAGGTTCTTCTTCTGCCGCATTTTTCATTTTGACTTTGATTTTATTACGACTTTAATGTTGAAATGTTACGACTTTATTCTTGTAAAATTATGACTTTATTCTTGTAAAATTATGACTTATTATTGTAAAATTATGACTTTATTCTTGTAAAATTATGACTTTATTCTCGTAAAATTACGACTTATTCTTGTAAAATTACGACTTTATTCTTGTAAAATTATGACTTATTCTTGTAAAATTACGACTTATTCTTGTAAAATTACGACTTTATTCTTGTAAAATTATGACTTATTCTTGTAAAATTACGACTTTATTCTTGTAAAATTATGACTTTATTCTCGTAAAATTACGACTTATTCTTGTAAAATTACGACTTTATTCTTCTAAAATTACGACTTTATTCTTGTAAAATTATGACTTTATTCTTGTAAAATTACGACTTATTCTTGTAAAATTACGACTTTATTCTTGTAAAATTATTACTTTAATGTTGAAATGTTACGACTTTATTCTTGTAAAATTATGACTTTATTCTCGTAAAATTACGACTTATTCTTGTAAAATTACGACTTTATTCTTCTAAAATTACGACTTTATTCTTGTAAAATTACGACTTTAATGTTGAAATGTTACGACTTTATTCTTGTAAAATTATTACTTTATTCTTGTAAAATTATGACTTTATTCTTGTAAAATTATGACTTTATTCTCGTAAAATTACGACTTATTCTTGTAAAATTACGACTTTATTCTTGTAAAATTATGACTTATTCTTGTAAAATTACGACTTATTCTTGTAAAATTACGACTTTATTCTTGTAAAATTATGACTTATTCTTGTAAAATTACGACTTATTCTTGTAAAATTACGACTTTATTCTTGTAAAATTATGACTTTATTCTCGTAAAATTACGACTTATTCTTGTAAAATTACGACTTTATTCTTTAACTTTCTTGTAAAATTATGACTTTATTCTTGTAAAATTACGACTTATTCTTGTAAAATTACGACTTTATTCTTGTAAAATTATTACTTTAATGTTGAAATGTTACGACTTTATTCTTGTAAAATTACGACTTTATTCTTGTAAAATTATGACTTTATTCTTGTAAAATTACGACTTTATTCTCGTAAAATTACGACTTTATTCTTGTAAAATTATGACTTATTCTTGTAAAATTACGACTTATTCTTGTAAAATTACGACTTTATTCTCGTAAAATTACGACTTATTCTTGTAAAATTACGACTTTATTCTCGTAAAATTACGACTTATTCTTGTAAAATTACGACTTTATTCTTCTAAAATTACGACTTTATTCTTGTAAAATTATTACTTTAATGTTGAAATGTTACGACTTTATTCTCGTAGCGCCAGCATGTTTTTTTTTTTTTTTTTTAATGTAACCCTTTTACTCCGTCGTACAACAGGAAACAGATTCATGACGATTGTTTCTTCCAAACTCGTCACTCGTCACGTGATCAGGGGCTGGACCCGGTGAGCTCTGTCCACCTGTCAGCGGTTTACAGACAGGTGCAGACAGGTGCAGACAGGTGACCGTAAGTTCCCGGGCAGAGTTTGTTTTTTTCCGGGAGCAAACACGAGGCGCGCGCTCTTTTTGTTTACCGGGAAATGAGCCGCTTTACGACTTTAATGAGTTTTTGTCAGTGACGTCAACGCGCAGGAAATGAAACGTGAGACGGAACCGAGTCTGAAAAAGTGAAACACGAGTTTGACTTTTACCCGGAAAATATTTACCAACAAATGAAACTCGTGAAGTTTAAAAATCCTGCTCCGATTTTTCCCTGGAAAATCTGCAGTTTTAAAAAAGTCACAAAAAACACAAACCGAAAGAAACAACACAGAGAAAAAACCAGAACTAAACCAGGACTAAACCAGAACTAAACCAGGACTAAACCAGGACTAAACCAGAACTAAACCAGAACTAAACCAGGACTAAACCAGGTCTAAACCAGAACTAAACCAGGACTAAACCAGGACTAAACCAGAACTAAACCAGAACTAAACCAGGAAACCAGGTAAACCAGGACTAAACCAGGAACTAAACCAGGACTAACCAGGACTAAACCAGAACTAAACCAGAACTAAACCAGGACTAAACCAGGGACTAAACCAGACTAAACTAAACCAGGACTAAACCAGGACTAAACCAGGACTAAACCAGAACTAAACCAAACCAGGACTAAACCAGGACTAAACCAGGACTAAACCAGGAAAACTGAACCAGACTAAACCAGGACTAAACCAGGACTAAACCAGGACTAAACCAGGACTAAACCAGGACTAAACCAGGACTAAAACCAGGACTAACCAGGACTAAACCAGGACTAAACCAGGACTAAACCAGGACTAAACCAGAACTATGGTTTAGTCCAAAATTAAATGTTCCAAAATTAAACCTGTCAGATTTAAACATGCCAGAGTTAAACATTTGAGAGTTAAATGTTCCAGAGTTAAATGTTTTGGAGTTAAATGTGGTGGTGTTAAAGTGCCCATGTGCAGTGTCCCAGACTTTTTAAATCCACATAATCATAAACGACAGCAGGTGTGGGAGGGCATCTGATACAATATATTTATACAACAACATCAAACTCACAAAAACAAACAAACAAACAAACAAACAAACTCTCCCCGTGAGTCAGATGCCCTCCCGCAATCCTACACGAACTAAACCAGGAACTAAACCAGGACTGAACCAGGACTGAACCAGGTCTAAACCAGGACTGAACCAGGAACTAAACCAGGAAACCAGGTCTAAACCAGGACTAAACTAAACCAGGACTAAACCAGGTCTAAACCAGGACTAAACCAGGACTAAACCAGGACTAAACCAGGACTGAAACCAGGACTAAACCAGGACTAAACCAGGACTAAACCAGGACTAAACCAGGTAAACTAAACCAGGACTAAACCAGGACTAAACCAGGACTAAACCAGGACTAAACGAAACCAGGACTAAACCAGGTCTAAACCAGGACTAAACCAGGACTAAACCAGGACTAAACCAGGACTCTAAACCAGGACTAAACTAAACCAGGACTAAACCAGGACTAAACCAGGACTAAACCAGGACTAAACCAGACTAACCAACAACACAACAACTGGGAGGGCATCTGCATCTGGCACATAGTTCTGGGACTGGTTTAGTCCTGGTTTAGTCCTGGTTTAGTCCTGGTTTAGTTCTGGTTTAGTAAAAGATGACGTCACATTTCCTGATCATAAATCTATATTATTCTATTATTATTCTACTCTCCCCGCCGTGACGTCACGCCGTTGTCACCTGTTGCGCGGGCGCGGGGCCGTGTTTTCCCCCCTGTCACCGGCGGCAGGGACTCACCTGTCGGACCAGGTCGTACTCCAGCTCTTTGGCGAGCGCGCGCGCCACCGCCAGCCCCCCCGGGACCTCCACGGCCCACTCGTTCAGGTACTGACGCTCCCCGGGCGGCGGCGGCGGCAGGGCATCCGAGCCAAACACGAGCAGCGCACACGCGACGAGCAGCGGCAGCGCGGCGGGGACGACGCATCGCGCTTCCATCAGGCACGAGGCGACGAAGAAGAGGAAGAGGAGGAAGAGGAGGAAGAGGCCGGGGGGAGGAGAGCGGCACACGGAGCGCGCACGAGCGGGGAGAGGAGGCGCACGGGCTCCGGCGTCGCGGGGTCTCGTCGGTGTCGCTGGTTCCGGTCGGCGTCGGGGGTTCTAGTCGGGGGTTCTCGTCGGAGGTTCTCGTCGGAGGTTCTCGTCGGCGTCTCGGGTTCTGGTCGCGGGGTTCTGTTCGGCGTCACGAGCAGGTGCGGGTTCCGTGGGCGCGCGGGAGGATCACGGTGCGCGTCTGAGGAGCGCGTGAGGGTCTGTGTGCGTCTGTGCGTCTGAGCTCGCGACGGGGCGTGAGGGAGGAGGGGGGGTGGGGGGGCGGGGGGCGGTGCGCGTCAAAACTACGGCGGCTGTGACGTCAATCTGCCGTCTCCCGTCATCCCCCTCCTCCTCCTCCTCATCCCTCCATCCGAGACCGAGAGAGAGAGATGATCCTCCGAGATAAAGAAGAGAAGAAAAGAGAGAGAAGGAAGAGAAGGAGGAGGAGAGGAGGAGGAGAAAGAAGAGAAAGAAGAGAATAAAGAAGGAAGCAAAGAGAGAGAGAGAAAAGGAGAGAGGAGGAGAAAGTGAAGGAGAGAGAGAGGAGAGGAACATCAAGTCGTCCACGTCTCCCTCTTCACCTCCTCCACTCTGTCCTCCGATCCCTCCATCCAAACACAAGTAAATATGTTTATAAACTAGAGCCGTATCGATAAATCTCTGTTCGATATTTACTGTGATATTTTAGGCTGATGCTAATTGTAGATGAGAAAATTTTCTGTTTTAAAAATATTCTGACAAGATTCTGGTGTGAATTATTTCCATCATAATCCCAAGAGTTCAAATCAAAAACATGTTTCTTCGTGTTTTCTGCGCTGAAATGAATCATGGGAAATGTAGTTCTGATGTTTATAAACTGTTGTTACTGTTAAACCAAAGACACTTGTGATTCGATTTATTGTGACGATACGATATCACGATATTTCAGTTACTGTGACAGTCCCTAATATAAACATATATAAAACACACCTGATACAGAACTTTATATTTATGTTTTTATGTCTTATCTGTTCATTTACATATTTCACACACATTTATATTTTCTTCTTTTGTTCATGTATAAACTATTTATAATCCTCCCCCCGTGTTCATGAAACCTGCTCCTCTGTTCATCCTCACACATTTACCTGTATATATATTTGTATTTATATATATTTGTATTTATCTGTAAATATTTGTATTTATCTGTATATATATTTGTATTTATCTGTAAATATCCATCCATCCATTTTCGTCCGTTTATCCGGGGTCGGGTCGCGGGGGCAGCAGTCTAAGCAGGGACTCCCAGACTTCCTTCACCCCAGACACGTCCTCCAGCTCCTCCGGGGGAACCCCGAGGCGTTCCCAGGCCAGTCCAGAGACATAGTCCCTCCAGTGTGTCCTGGGTCTTCCCCGGGGCCTCCTCCCGGTGGGACATGAACACCTCCCGAGGGAGACGTCCAGGAGGCATCAGAACAGATGCCCGAGCCTCAACTGGCTCCTCTGGACGTGGAGGAGCAGCGGCTCTACTCCGAGCTCCTCCCGTGTGACTGAGCTCCTCACCCTATCTCTAAGGGAGACGCCCAGCCACCCTGCGGAGGAAACTCATTTCGAGCGCTTGTATCCGCGATCTCGTCCTTTCGGTCACTACCCAGAGCTCATGACCAGAGGTGAGAGTAGGAACGAAGACTGACCGGTAAATCGAGAGCTTCGCCTTTCGACTCAGCTCCTCTTCACCACAACGACCGATACAGCGACCGCATCACTGCCGAAGCTGCACCGATCCACCTGTCAATCTCACGTTCCATCCTTCTCTCACTCGTGAACAAGACCCCGAGATACTTGAACTCCTCCACTTGAGGCAAAGACTCCCCACCCACCCGGAGAGGGCAAGACCACCTTTTTCCGGTCGAGAACCATGGCCTCAGACTTAGAAGAGCTGATCTTCATCCCAGCCGCTTCACACTCGGCTGCAAACCGCCCCAGTGCACATTGCAGGTCCTGGTTCGATGAAGCCAACAGGACAACATCGTCCGCAAACAGCAGAGATGAAATCCTGTGGTCCCCAAACCGGACCCCCTCCAGCCCCTGACTGCGCCTAGAAATTCTGTCCATAAACACAATGAACAGAACCGGTGACAGGGCAGGCCCTGGCGGAGTCCAACATGCACCGGGAACAGGTCTGACTCACTGCCGGCAATGAACACAGCTCCTGCTCCGGTCATACAGGGACCGGACAGCCCTTAGCAAAGGGCCCCGGACCCCATACTCCCAGAGCACCCCCCACAGGACACCACGAGGGACACGGTCGAATGTCTTCTCCAGATCCACAAAACACATGTGGACTGGTTGGGCAAACTCCCATGAACCTCGAGCACCGATGGAGAGTGTAGAGCTGGTCCAGTGTTCCACGGCCAGGACGAAAACCACACTGCTCCTCCTGGATCTGAGGTTCGACTATCGGCCGGATTCTCCTCTCCAGTCCCTGGCATAGACCTTACTTACCGGGAAGGTTGAGGAGTGTGATCCCCCTATAGTTGGAACACACCCTCCGGTCCCCCTTCTTATACAGAGGGACCACCACCCCGGTTTGCCAGTCCAGAGGTACTGTCCCCAACCGCCACGCGATGTTGAAGAGGCGTGTCAGCCAAGACCCACAACATCCAGAGACTTAAGGTACTCAGGACGGATCTCATCCGATCCCGGAGCCACCGAGGAGCTTTAACCACCTCAGTGACTTCAGCCAGGGTGATGGATGAGTCCGCCTCCGAGTCCCCAGCCTCGGCCTCCTCCTCGGAAGACGTGACGGTGGGATTGAGGAGATCCTCAAAGTTTTCCTTCCACCGCCGGACAACGTCCCCAGTCGAGGTCAGCAGCTCTCCCCCCGCACTGTAAACAGTGTTGGTGAAGAACTGCTTTCCCCTCCTGAGGCGCCGGACGGTTTGCCAGAATCTCTTTGAGGCCGTCCGATAGTCCTTCTCCATGGCCTCCCCGAAATCCTCCCAGCTCCGAGTTTTTGCCTCCGCGACCACACGGGCTGCAGCACGCTTGGCCCGCCGGTACCCGTCAGCTGCTTCAGGAGTCCCCCGAGCCAGCAAGGCCCGATAGGACTCCTTCTTCAGCTTGACAGCATCCCTTACTTCCGGTGTCCACCACCGGGTTCTGGGGTTGCCGCCGCGACAGGCACCACAGACCTTACGCCCACAGCTCCGAGCAGCTGCATTGACAATAGAGGCCGAGAATGAAGCCCACTCAGGACTCCATATCTCCAGCCTCCCCCGGAATCCGGGAGAAGTCCTCCCGGAGGTGCGAGTTGAAGGTCCCTCTGACAGAGGCTCCGCCAGACGTTCCCAACAGACCCTCACTACACGCTTGGGCCTGCCAGGTCTTTCCGGCTTCCTCCTCCGCCAGCGAACCCAACTCATCTGTATATATATTTGTATTTATCTGTATATATATTTGTATTTATCTGTATATATATTTGTATTTATCTGTATATATATTTGTATTTATCTGTATATATATTTGTATTTATCTGTATATATTCACTAGACTCACATCAGTCTCCTGCTCTTCTCATCCACATTTTATTTTCTTTATTTAAACATGTGAAAGAAAAAAAACATGAATCTGATCGAAAACAGAAGAAAGAGAAAAAAACAGAAAAAAACAGAGAGAAACAGAGAGAAACAGAGAGAAACAGAGAAACAGAGAGAAACAGAGAAACAGAGAGAAACAGAGAGAAACAGAGAACAGAGAAACAGAGAGATGAAAGGGAGGGGGGGGGGGGGGGGGGGGAGCTAAAAATATCGTTTAAAAACAACGACAGGAAACGTCATCACGTCCTCGAAGAGAAAAATCCCAAACATTTAAATGATCTGATTTAGTCCTGGTTTAGTCCTGGTTTAGACCTGGTTTAGACCTGGTTTAGTCCTGGTTTAGTCCTTTTAGTCCTGGTTTAGTCCTGGTTTAGTCCTGGGTTTACCTGGTTTAGTCCTGGTTTAGTCCTGGTTTAGTCCTGGTTTAGTCCTGGTTTAGACCTGGTTTAGTCCTGGTTTAGTCCTGGTTTAGTCCTGGTTTAGTCCTGGTTAGTCCCCTGGTTTAGTCCTGGTTTAGTCCTGGTTTAGTCCTGGTTTAGTCCTGGTTTAGTCCTGGTTTAGTCCTGGTTTAGTCCTGGTTTAGTTTAGTCCTGGTTTAGTCCTGGTTTAGTCCTGGTTTAGTCCTGGTTTAGTCCTGGTTTAGTCCTGGTTTAGTCCTGGTTTAGTCCTGGTTTAGTCCTGGTTTAGTCCTGGTTTAGTCCTGGTTTAGTCCTGGTTTAGACCTGGTTTAGTCCTGGTTTAGTCCTGGTTTAGTCAGTGGTTTACCTGCTCCTGACGTCACCAGCCCGAGGTCACGTGACGCGGCGGGAGCAGGAAGAAGGGATCGATAAAAAAAAGAGATTAAAAAAAGAGATTTGGAGAAAAAGAGAAAAAACAGAGAGAAGAAGAAGAAGAGAAGAAGAAGAAGAAGAGAGAAGAGAAGAAGAGAAGAGCGAGTGGAATCTGTAAACAAACTGAAGAAATCCTCTTTTTATTTTTGTCTTTATGAAAATTGTGTAACCGCGGACTGACGTCACTGTCACGTGGTCTCACCATAGCAACAAGAAGAGAGAAAAAGAACCAGAACCAGACCTGGACCAGACCTGGACCAGACCTGGACCTGGTTTAGTCCAGGTTCAGTTCTGTTCATTAAACTGGTTGAATGAGACAAACACTTGAGGAGAGAAAGAGCCGTGTTTACTCACGTGCACGCTCACACGCACGTGCACGCTCACTCACACACACACGTGCACGCGCGCACACGGGGGCGGCGCGGGGGGGGGCGGTGTCATGTGACCTGAGCAAACGCCGTCACCTGGAAACAAGTGTTTACCGAGAGAAAGAAAGAGAAGAGATGAGATGGAAAAAGAGAAAGAGGGAGAGAGGAAGAGAAGAGGAGGAAGAGAAGAGGAGGAAGAGAGATAAAAGAGGAAATAGCACGTGGGAGGAGAGGAGTAACTGTAGTTTTTCTCCAGTTGAAGCAGATCTGTGGAGTCTGGTCCTGTCACAATGATTCACTGCAGTTTTCCTCTTCTCCTCTGTTCCTCTTCTTCTTCTTCTCTCTCTCTCCTCGTGTGTTCAGTTTTTATCTTTCCATCAGACTCGTGGTGTTTCACACTGAAAGAGCAACTCGTCTGTATAAATGTCACAAAAACATCTCAGAATAATCTGATGGACAAATGTCACAGATCCACGTCTCCACAGACACATCAGAACATCTGAGAACATCTGAGAACATCTGAGAACATCTGAGAACATCTGAGAACATCTGAGAACATCTGAGAACATCTCAGACCCCAGACACTTCCTCCAGTCCAGAGACATCGTCCCTCCAGTGTGTCCTGGGTCTTCTCCTCCTCCGGTGGGACATGAACACCTCCTGAGGGACACGTCCAGGAGACATCAGAACAGACGTCCTCCCCTCAGACGCTCCTCTCCACGTGGAGGAGCAGCGGCTCTACTCCGAGCTCCTCACTCTGTCTCTAAGGGAGACGCCCGGACGCCCTGCGGAGGAAACTCATCTGTGTCTCTTGACACGACGACAAAGTTGATTCTGGAGCTTCAGTGGAGGACGTCCTGGAGCCACATGTTCTGATGGACACTTGTGCTCCTGGTGTTGGTTCTGGACAAACTGTGACTCACACAGACGTCCAGTAACAGAACACAGCTCAGGTTCAGATCAGGAGGACGTTCCTCTCCAAGTGTCACTGGTAGAACAGTCGGTGCACTGTCCAGGTCCTGGCAGAAGGTCGAGTACTCGAGTACTCTGCACTGCTGTTGGGCCGTGGGCGACACCACAGTGAAAGACCCCGACCTGCAGGTGCAGGGACACGAACCTCTAACACACACCGCCCCCGACAACACCAGAAGAACAGAGTCCAGACCCTCGAGGAGTTGGGCTCCAGGTCCCAAACTGTGTCTGATGAAGCCGACTGAATCTGATCAATGTTCAACCTCCTGCTGGAGGCTCCGCCCCCTGAGGTCACATGTCTCCACAGTCTCCATGTTCTGAAGATCCACTCCTCGAGGTGCTGCTGTCCTCCACCGCCCACATCTCTGCACCAGCTCCTCATGGATCCTCCTGCTCTGCTCGGCCCCGGGCCCCGGTGACGCAACTGACACAAACCCCCTCCTCCTCCTGCAGGTTCAGACGACGCTTCAGCCACAGACTCCGACTGAAACATGAGTCTCCTGTTTGGTCTTTAGAGGCTGAAGGTTCAATTCCCAGAAAAAACACAAACCCCAAGAAACAAACAAACAAACAAACAAACAAACAAACAAACGTGAAACTCACTCGTTTAACGTTTTTACGTCTTTATTGAAGCTTCTGTTTTTCGCACAAACACAAAGATCTGACAGTCCTGATACAGTGTGATACACCCAGCCCCGCCCCCTCACTCAACCCCACCCCCCTCTGTGTGACACATCCACTCAGCCCCGCCCCCCTCACTCAGCCCCGCCCCCCTCACTCAGCCCGCCCCCCTCACTCAGCCCCGCCCCTCTGTGACTTCCTCTTTAATCTTAAAATGACACAAACTCCACATGAACCTGAACAGTGTGGTTTAGAAAAGCCTCTGCGACTGGTTTAGACCCGGTTTTTCACTTGGTTTAGTTCTGGTTTAGTTCTGGTTTAGTCCTGGTTTAGTCCTGGTTTAGTCCTGGTTTAGTCCTGGTTTAGTTCTGGTTTAGTCCTGGTTTAGTTCTCTTTTAGCTCTGGTCTCAAATGGGTGGCGTTGGCTTGTGGGCGGAGCCTCGTACTGGCTCGTGCTGCTAACCGTGAGGAGGATTGTGAAGTGGATTTAGCAGAACTCTTTGGTGCTTTTTTAAAAACACTGGATATATTTCTGTTCTGTGTGAGTTTGCGTCATTTCCCGGACCCGACGCTGATCCGGGTTTTGCGACTCGAGACTAAACGACAGAAAACAAAACGTGACGTGATTTGTGAAACGTCCGCGGCGTTCGTGGATCTCAGCGCTTCTGATCCGATGTAAACGTTACACTTTTGTGGAAAGTCCGTCCCGTCACGCTGGACTCTAGTGTCAAAAACTCCAAACCAAATCTGACCCCAAAACATTCCACATTTTTACACAACTCATTTAGATTTTTTTTTAAAGATTCTACACGTTCAAAATCATTTTTATAATCTGATAAAATGTCTAAATCTGCTTCGATCACCATCCAAAACTGCAAAAAAAGAACATCGAACGTCTGATCCGACTCTTTAAAGACGCACTGTGGGACATTTCCGCTGAAGGATCCTCTGCAAGTGACGGCTCAGAGGTAAATGTTCCGCAGTGAAGCTTTAAACGTTTTATCTGCTCATGTTTATTCAGTTACGACGACTGAAAAACCACGTCTGTGTGTGTGGGCTCGCCTCTCCAGAGACCTGACCTGTAGACCTGGTTTAGTCCTGGTTCAGTCCTGGTTTAGTCCTGGTTTAGTCCTAATTTAGTCCTGGTTTAGTCCTAATTTAGTCCTGGTTTAGTCCTAATTTAGACCTGGTTTAGTCCTAATTTAGTCCTGGTTTAGTCCTAATTTAGTCTTAATTTAGACCTGGTTTAGTCCTAATTTAGTCTTAATTTAGACCTGGTTTAGTCCTAATTTAGTCCTGGTTTAGTCCTAATTTAGTCCTGGTTTAGTCCTAATTTAGTCCTGGTTTAGTCCTAATTTAGTCTTAATTTAGTCCTGGTTTAGTCCTAATTTAGACCTGGTTTAGTCCTAATTTAGTCCTGGTTTAGACCTGGTTTAGTCCTAGTTTAGTCCTGGTTTAGTCCTGGTTTAGTCCTGGTTTAGTCCTGGTTTAGTCCTGGTTTAGAAAAGTGACCCAGTGCAGCTTTAAGATTTTTAAACCGAGGTGTTGTTTCTTTTGTTTTTCATCTTTTTAAATTTTTTTTGTGTTTTTTTAAATTTTTATTTCTTATTTTTTTTGGCATCAGAGCAACAAAATTTCCTTCGTAAAATATTTAAATTGATTTGTAATTTATTGAAAAACCTTTCACCGTAAACAGTCGTGATTTATTTTACAATTTGAGTCATTTTTAACTGAACGAGACATTCGTTTTTTGCAGTCGTTCTCCCTCCTCCGTCTTAAACTCATCTCGTCTTTTTTACATAATATTTCCCTCTTTCTCCCTCCTCTTTTTTTTTTTCTCGTCTTTTCGACCCCAAACGCACGAGAGATTTGTGCAAAACATTAAAACGTCATAAATTCATATCTACATCCGAACTCGAACTGAACTCAAACATTCAAAGTTTAGAAAAATACATTTGATCTGATTCATCCAGAAAAACCAACGCTCCGCAGACTCCGGCGGCAGCGGCAGCAACGGCAACGCCAACGCCAACGCCAACGCCGCCAACGCCAACGCCAACGCCAACGCCAACGACCTGCGAGAGAAAAGGGATTATTACTATTTTAAACACATCATTAGGTTTTATATTTTACTCCAAATCTGACACGAGACGCTTTAAAGGTCGTATGGAGGATTTTTTGTTTGTTTCAAATTGTCAATGAAAGTTTAAAACACCGTTACAGAGACGCAGCAGCTTTGTAATTATGATGACAAAAAAAAAAATAAAGAAAATCTATCAACTGTGGACGTGTTGAGGCCAGAGAAACATCAGCCAATAGAAAACGAGGCTGCCTCATTTTCTATTGGCTGTTAGGTCGTCAATCAAACTAAACCCTAAGTTTCTAAGGTAACTATGCAGCAGTTCTTAGAGCAGGGGTGTCAAACTTATTTTGGTCCGGTCTAAACCAGGTCTAAAACTAAACCAGGTCTAAACCAGGTCTAAACCAGGTCTAAAACCAAGTCTAAAACCAGGTCTAAATCAAGTCTAAACCAGGACTAAACTAGATCTAAACCAGGACTAAACCAGGTCTAAATCAGGACTAAACCAGGTCTAAACCAGGACTAAATCAGGTCTAAACCAGGTCTAAACCAGGACTAAACCAGGTCAAAACCAGGTCTAAATCAAGTCTTAACCAGGACTAAACTAGACCTAAGCCAGGACTAAACCAGGTCTAAACTAGATCTAAACCAGGATTAAACCAGGATTTAACAGGACTAAATCCTGCTGTGGACGTGGCTCCTTTTCAATCAATAATATTTTTAATTTGGTTCAGTAAAGTCAGAGCTTTTTTTTTTATTTTCTTTTAACAAACAAAACATCTTAAGTTCCTCTACAACAAATCAAGTAATCCGAAGTAATCAGATTACTTTACTCACTTTAAGTAATTTAATGGATTCCGTTACAAACTACATTCTGGGACATGTAATCTGTAATCTGTAGAGGATTACATTTTAAAGTAAACTTCCCCACACTGCGCCTCTGTCCCGTTCTCCTGGTGCGAGTGAAAAGACAAAAACGAGGAAGAGGCTGAAACCCGACGAGCGACAGTCGAGATCTGAACCCATGACGCTCGCAAAATTTACACCGCGGAAAAAGATTTCACGTTTCCTGAAAGTGAAGCTGGACTTTATTTTCCACGATGTGATTTAAACGCAGAGAGAAGGAAACGTCCTGGTTTAGTCCTGGTTTAGTCCTGGTTTAGTCCTGGTTTAGTCCTGGTTTAGTCCTGGTTTAGTCCTGGTTTAGACCTGGTTTAGTCCTGGTTTAGTCCTGGTTTTAGACCTTGTTTAGTCCTGGTTTTAGACCTGGTTTCAGTCCTGGTTTAGACCTGGCCTGGTTTAGTCCTGGTTTAGACCTGGTTTAGACCTGGTTTAGACCTGGTTTAGTCCTGGTTTAGTCCTGGTTTAGAGACCTGGTTTAGACCTGGTTTAGTCCTGGTTTAGACCTGGTTTAGACCTGGTTTAGACCTGGTTTAGTCCTGGTTTAGACCTGGTTTAGACCTGGTTTAGTCCTGGTTTAGACCTGGTTTAGACCTGGTTTAGTCCTGGTTTAGACCTGGTTTAGACCTGGTTTAGTTCTGGTTTATTGATCTAAACTCTGGTCGTGTCGTTTCCTGCTCCGAGTCTGTAAACGTCTCAACTCTTCAAAAGTTTATAAAAGTTTAAATCTGTTGACTGAAGGTTTATGGAATATTTATGACAGGTGCATGGTGACAGGTGCAGGGTGACAGGAGCAGGGTGGCAGGTGCAGAGTGACAGGTGCAGGGTGACAGGAGCAGGGTGACAGGTGCAGGGTGACAGGAGCAGAGTGACAGGTGCAGGGTGACAGGTGCAGGTGACAGGTGCAGGGTGACAGGTGCAGGGTGACAGGTGCAGGGTGACAGGAGCAGAGTGACAGGTGCAGGGTGACAGGTGCAGGGTGACAGGTGCAGGGTGGCAGGTGCAGGGTGACAGGTGCATAGTGACAGGTGCATGCAGGTGCATTGACAGGTGCAGGGTGACAGGTGCAGGGTGACA